CTCTCTCTCTCTCTCTCTCTCTCTCTCTCTCTCTCTCTCTCTCTCTCGGTCCCTTTTACCCCAACTCCCACACACTCACATTCACATAATCATAATGTAAATCATTTTATAATTTTAAAATACCTCAATAGTGATTTCTAAATATGTATTTTATCAAGAAACTTGGCACCATCGCCTAGCTAAATAGAGTTCTACACAGGCACCAAACATAAATATATGATGTGGAACAAAACAGATCATAAAATTTAAGCAGTTGAAGGAAGTCCACTTCTTTGATAAGACTGGCAACCACGTGATGAGTACAGCCCATGATGTTATGTACAGTTGCATCATTCAAAAACTACTACTCAGTTCAGAGAGATGGCTTAGTCACTAAGAACACTAAACAGTCTTCCAGAGGACTTAAGTTCCAGTCTCAGCACTGACATGTTGGCTAACAACCATCTGTAATTCTAGTTCCAGAAGAACATGACTTAGATGATGATGTTAGAACAGTTGGCTGATGTCATTCTGATCTCAAATCATGAAATAAGTCATGTCTTTCGTGTGTGTATTATTTCCAGAGTGCTGTGAAAGTGCATTCCCAGAGTCACTAGGGTGAATAATATAGATTTTAATCCTTCCTCTGGTCTTGACTTCACACAGCTATTGCTCATTTCTTAGCTTACTCATACGAACTGCATCAAATCAACCATTAATAATCCTTGTGTCCTTCTAAATTGATCTCCAATCAAATCAATGCATACAGACAATGTTACAAAAGCCAATTTTCATCTAGTCCTCTCACTGAGTAATGATTACATCAACAGTATGGTTTCATGTTTGGTTTATGAATCAAACAGACCTGAGTCAAGCTACATCATGCTGTTCAGGTAAAAGCTCTGCTTTCTTTAGGTAATGTTGTGATATAATATAATGTTTAAATTTTTGTCCCCTCAGTAAATGACACCACAGCCAATAATGCGTTAAACAGTCTTAAACAATAACAATGGTAACAACGTAAAGGAGTCTACATGCAGAGGTCATGTGTGACACCTAAGGGTTTATTTGATGATGAGGGACATGTAACACTCCAAAAATGTATTTAATGAATTTTTAATGCAATGTAAAAACTTCATGTTTTCAAGAAGGAAATAAAAATTTATGCTAGAACCAATATCTAGAACTGAATGTTGTTTTTTATACATTCCATTGTTGGGATGAGATACTGGAAAAAAGTAATCACAAGGGATTGATTAAAACATGAACTTTTTATTACCTGAGAAATGATGAACTAATATG